GTAGGGCTCCATGTAATTTCCACTAGATATAGTGATGTCCTCATCACAAACTATGCCTTCTATTGATAATTAATTTAAGTATGTGGAATCGACCTTTTGGCTCAGCCTCTTTCATAAACTATGTCTGTATATATTGTATTAGATATGTAGTAAGAAAGTTCACTCGTGGTTCCCCAACATTTTCTCCTTTGTATATCATGTACATTTTATTTTGTTTTCACTTGTCCCTCTGAGCAGGAACAACTTGATGGTGCTGGTGTTGAACTCTCAAGCCTCTATAAGTGGATTGAAAAGCAGGCTCCAAATAGTTGCTGTACTGAAGCATGGAAAAAGAGGACTCATTGGGTAGGAAATCAGATGTCAAGCGATGTGACTGAGTCAGTTGCGCAAGCTGAAGAGTATCTCCAGATCCACAGGCCTATGAGAAGGATGTTCGTCGATATGCTTTTGAGTTAATCTTTATTTTTTCCTTTTAATTTGAAATCTTGTTGGGCAGACGGCATGGTAAAATTTTGGATGAGGGTGCCAGTGGTTTCCTCGAGAGAAAACTTAACAGTGAAAACAATGAAGGTGCAAAAAACAGTTCAGATATAGATTGGGACTCTTTCAGCAAAATATCTCTGACAAGTCATCGATAGAGAATATCAAATTTGGCAGTAAGTACTGGACTGCTGTCTATCTGGCCAGTACACCACAGCAAGCTGCTGAACTGTGTCTAAATTTTCCTGGAGTCAATGAGGTGAAATATCTGAAATTGTTTCATTGAAGATCTTAGGCAAAACCTAGCTTTTTGATGTAACAGCTGCATGGTTTATTGTTGCCTTCCATCTGATAATTGAATTTATAGTGCTTTAAGTTTTCTTTTCATTTTCCTAATTCAATCACAACTATTCTCTATTGTTTCAGATGTTCTGTGTACAATTCTGAATGTTTCAAGTCCTGTATCTTTTGAAGCAGTTTTGTCATCTTAGCATGGGTACCTCTAATTTGTCTGCCTCCTGATATTTCAATTGTTGGACAATCCAAGCATTAGTAAATTGGTGTAATCATCTAAAATTTTCAAAACAGTATCCATCAAATTGATTAAAATCTTGTAGGTTCTGCTGGGGGCAGATCTCACAATATAATCTAGGTGCATTAAAATATTATTATATAACTCTTATGTAGAGCAATTCCAAATTAACCTGAAATGAGACATGGAATATTCGTGAAACCTCTAGGAAAATATTAAACAAAACCAGTTCATAAGGAAAGGTTTATATAATTTGTGATAATCGAAGAGAGAAAAGGGTGGAGGAACAGAACTGGCCCGAGGCTTTGCAGCTTTGAGTTGTTGAAAGTTCTTCTAAACCATTAAGAACCTGGATAAACATCAATGCATGATTCTAATAACTTCATCATACTTGCTCTAGATTCTGCCGTTAGTAGTTCTTTTCAGTTCAGTTGCATTTTGAGAAGTTCTTTTTTCTCTTTCCCCTCTACTCTTGTCAGGTGGAGGAGATTGATGATGTTGATGGAAGTTCAAGTGATCCATTTGTTGCAGATGTTGTAGCAAATGAAAGAGATTTGAATCTCACTGAAGAGCAAAAGAGAAGCTTTAGAAAGGTCAGTTTTATCTTCTTTCTAATGTAGTACACTGTATTGACGGCAATAACCAAAGAAAGTTGTTTCTCTTTCATCACTTTCAGTAAAAATGTCTGTTTATGTGAAAGTTTGAATCTTAAGTGCGTTGCTGTCAATGACTGCAATTTCTGGATCATTCTCAATTTGCGATGGTTGTGATAAAGGAGGTTAAAAGTAGGGTGTTAAACTGAGTGCAACATGATACGCAAGTACATATGAACACGAATTTTAGTTATCCAAACCATTTTCTTCTCTATCTCTAGATTTTGAGGTTGAAGAAGTATATTACGAAATACTGAGCTTCATCTCCAGATTTTGGTAATCCATTTACTTTTTACTCATTTTTCTTTTATAGGCTCAACTTGATAAATAATGGACTTATGCAATTTTCAACATTGATGTTGTTATATAAAGGATGATAGGTGATGTATAGACATTAAACTAGGATTATGTTCCATGTAAGAATAATCACTGGCCTGTTCACAAATTATGATAATATATTGATGGTGTTATCGAGAGAAGCTAGTCCTAATAATATACTTTGTCATCTATGGTGTTGAATCATGTTCCTGTTCTCTCTCATTAAACCAGGGTGTCCATGTACTGGGAGAGATAAATAAAGGCCGATTTCATGCTTGCTCTGTACTTTGGTTGAGATTTATGGAGTGCATTTTACTTATCAAGGATAAGGCGGTTAATAAAATTCACTGCCATGTAATTACAGGTGGTAGGATTAGATTTTGATCAATAATTAGGAGGTCTATACATTTTTTTTTCTCTCAAGCTGGTCATTGGAAGTTAATCATTTATCAGGGCAAAAATTTGTTCACTTAAGCGCTTGTTTGGTGGGGATTAAAATAATATTTTTAGTAGATTTCGATAGAAGTTGATGAAATGTGTGGTTTAAAAGTTGTAGATCCCTTGAAATGTGGATAAGATTAATTGTTGATTTTGATGTGGATTAAAATCTTCATTTTAATTTCCACCAAACAGGGGCTAAATTTTAAATAAAAAATGTGAAAAGTTCTTTGAACTTTCCAAATAAGGAAATAAAAACAAAAATGTCGATTCTTTATCCTCTATATAATCTCATTTTCCATTCGAGAAATCACGTGACAAAATAACATGATTTGAGGTTCATGATGAGTTTACAACTATTTGAGGCTTATGCATCGAGCTGTAGCTCATGTGTGGCTTTCGTTGGACTCCTTGGAACTTATGCCTTAAGTTCTATACTTGAACCGTATGCTTTGAATTATTGAGGCTTACACCTCTCGGCTAAACCTTTGGGAAACTAAGGTATCCTCCTTTTTTGTCATCTCTTCCAGACATTTTATTACTAGTCTCAACTTTTTGAGGTATGTTTTCATAATCTAAAACTTTTTACTCAGTGTTTCTTGTCTCAACATGGAAAGGAAAAGGGGAAGGAGAACGCACCGTTGCATGATAGTGATGACGACGATGATAGGTGAATCTTAAACTTTGATGGTTCCCTTAGTGATCCTCCAAGTAGTGATGATACAGGAGACTTATGGGATGTCTCTACTTCTAGTATGGATTGCAATTTTGTTATGTGATTACTAATTTGAGAAATTATTTGCTACTTCATTGATATTTTTTATGGAGAATGACACATCAATTAATGTTCTTGGAGGGTTTCAGGCATTAAATTAGATTTGTTGAATTGATGTGCTATGTTATAGTTGCTAAGCTAAGCAACATTGCCTAGTATATCATTTCTCCTATTATATGTTTATAAGTTGGACTTTTAATTTGTTTATTATGATTTTAAAGATGATTTATCTTTTATTAGAACATCTTTAAGAGATTTTATTTTTAAAGAGCGTATTTTGTAATTTAGAGAGTGAAAATTTTTAAGCCCTCCAATAGGTTCTTTATATTTAACACCTAATTTTACTGCTCCTAAAAAAAATTATTGTGTTTCCCTATCTCTTATTTTTACTAGTTTCCCACCAAATTATTATATTATTTTATTCCATTGAAAATTGAAATACTTTGAATGCATTTTAATTATAAAGAGTAAGTTTGACTCTCTAAATTTAGAGAATCTGTGGCGCCCCAAATTTTATTGATTTCAATTTTGAGGTGTTACCTATATCATTTCATAATCATACATAAAGCGGAAATATTTAANTTTTGGGTTTATGTGTAAGATTATTTTATTTGAAGAATGTGTGGTTAGAAATGAGTACTGTAGGAAAATGAGAATGAGAATGAGATAAAAAATGGGTGTCAAACAGGGGTATGTTTATAAGTTGGACTTTTAATTTGTTTATTATGATTTTAAAGATGATTTATCTTTTATTAGAACATTTTAAGAGATTTTATTTTTAAAGAGCGTATTTTGTAATTTAGAGAGTGAAAATTTTTAAGCCCTCCAATAAGTTCTTTATATTTAACACCTAATTTTACTGCTCCTAAAAAAAATTATTGTGTTTCCCTATCTCTTATTTTTACTAGTTTCCCACCAAATTATTATATTATTTTATTCTATTGAAAATTGAAATACTTTGAATGCATTTTAATTATAAAGAGTAAGTTTGACTCTCTAAATTTAGAGAATCTGTAGCGCCCCAAATTTTATTGATTTAAAT